AGGCTGGTCGTGTGGGAGACTATGGTTTCATCGGAACCGTAGTCAAGCACGTGACCCCCTTCCCGTGGGTCCCGCCGTTAGTACCCCTCCGGGGGGAACTAAGAGTCACCGCTGCGTTCATGGACCTGGTGGGCTGCCAACCCCCTCGTTCCTACAAAACAGTTGGTTCAATGTACAATACTAAGCCTCGGATGACTAATTTAGACTCGGGTGGACCCGCAGGTCCTTCCCAACCGACTGACACAGGTAATCATCTTTGCCGCTACCCACAATGTAATAAAGCCTTTAAAACCTCAGTGGGTCGTGGAGTGCATGAGCAAAAGCAACATAAAGAATGGTATGACAGTAGAATGGCGTTGATAGAGCCAAAGAAAGCAAGATGGTCTGAAGAAGAGCAAGCACTAATGGCTAAAGAAGAAGCGGCACTAGTGATTAAGGGAACCTCCCATATTAACAAAGCCCTTCTCGCGGTAACACCCGGACGATCTCTGGAAGCCATTAAAGGCCAAAGGAGATCGCCGAAATATAAAAGCCAGGTTGCTGATTTTGTTAGCTTAATGTCCAACCAAGATAATATTGAGTATTGCTCTCCGGCTACAACAGATACCTCCGGAGAAGCCCTACTATTGGCGCTGGGACAGGCAGCTGCCGACACCGATGAAAGATTCAATGGTAGAATGCTGGCTAACACCTGCCAGCTAGTTAGTAAAATATCATTAAACGACTTAAAGGAAAAGATCGCTGACTACCTTAAGTCAACATTTCCACCAAAAAATAGACCATTGAACGCAAGAACTAGAAGAGAAGGCTATAAGCCTAAACTTAATAAGAGACAAACAAGAAGGCTCCAGTTCAAAACTACCCAACAACACTGGGCTAAGCACCCTACTAAATGCGTGCAATTCATTTTGGACAACAAAGACGTCCTACATAAGCCACCACCAGACATCATGGCTCAGTTTTGGACTAATGTGATGACCGGGCTCTCCACCCTATCACCCGGATCAGATGGTGCGAGAAATATAGATCTCTCGCTTGTATGGAGTCCTATACAACCAGACGAAATTAAGAACTGTTACCCGGCAAGTAATTCAGCGCCAGGGCCAGACGGTGTATCGGCTAACCTACTAAGATCGGTGCCAACAAACACCTTGGTTAACCTGTACAACTTATTTCTGTTCACGGGAAGCATCCCTGAACAACTACTGGAATCTTACACTACTCTGATTCCAAAGAAACAGAACGCTGAGAATCCCGGGGATTTCAGACCGATCACTGTCTCATCAGTGATAACGAGACATTTTAACAAAATTCTCGCAAAGCGGATGACAACACATATTAAAATAGATGATAGACAAACTGCCTTTCAACCGGTTGACGGTTGTGCAAACAACATCTTTGCATTAGACTACCTACTGAAATACCACAGGCAAAAACACAAGCCTGTCTTCATAGCATCAATTGACATGGCAAAAGCTTTCGACTCAATTTCGCACAAGGCGTTAATTGATACCCTAAAATACTACAATTTACCCAGTAGATGCACACAGTATATAGAGTACACATATGAGAACAGCTGGACGAGACTCCGTTGGGATAACTGGCACTCGGATCCATTAGTCCGAGGAGCGGGGTTAAACAAGGAGATCCTTTGTCACCAGTCTTGTTTAATCTAATTATAAATAGGCTCATTGAAAGCTCCCCTCCTGAGATCGGGTTGTGATAGAGGGAAAAATACTAAACATCATGGCGTTCGCTGATGACTTGGTATTTGCGGCGTCGTCACAGAAAGGCCTTCAGGCAATGCTAGACCACGCTAATGATTTTCTCTCAAAATGCGGCCTTATCATCAACACCGCCAAATCCTTTACAATAGCAATCAAAATGTGCCAATGTCAAAAAATCATACGTTGATAATAACATGAAAATTCAGTTGTGGTGGTCGAGACCTACCTGCCCTTTCCAGGGTGGAAGTTGGAGTTATCTCGGAGGTCCTTCACTCCGTGGGCGCCAAAATGTGCGATCTA